CAGGCCTACGAGGTGTGTCAGAAAAGTTCCAGGACTGGTGTCACAAAAGAAGTATTTCAAATACAAACTACAAACTACAAGTTTTCCCCGTCAAAGTCATCCCCCTGGAGTCTAACACACGTTCACAGGCTTCTCTGCCACACCGCTATGTACTCCTAGAGGGATTCTTCCGGGATCCTCCATCGTCACAGCCATCTTGATGTCATCCACCTCTTCAGAACGGGTCCCCTTGATGACCCCCTTGAGCTTGGGGAAGAGGAAACAATCCCACGGAGCCAGGTGGGGTGAGTAGTGAGGTTGCTACAGCACGGCGATACTCATCTCAGCCAGGAACTTTTGGATGCTCAGGGCATTGTGAGCAGGCACGTCGTCATGGTGAAGCAGCCACGACTTGTCCTGCCACAACTCTCGCCTCTTCTGGCGCACTGAATGAAGTAAACACTGCAAGATCTCTTTGTAGACATGCTGGTTGATCGTCTGAAGAGGAAAACTTGTTCTTTGGGTTTGAAATATATCTTTTGTGACACCAGTCCTGGAACTTTTCTGACACACCTCGTATACCTGCATACATCCTGTGAGTCAGACCAGTTAACATGAAACACAAAGTTGACCTGAGGCTGATGGCAATGTCATTCCTTTTGCAGGTAATTATTAATAAACTAAACCTGGTGTCATCAAGAAAAGTCAGTGGATACCAAAATCTCCTGGAATACAAGGATATACAGGGGCGCTTTGAAAAGTCCACAGTCTTACCCAGAAACAAGGGGCATAACTCCCACTTTGGAGAGACTATGAAACCTTATATCACTGTCCAAAAACTCAAATGTTTAAAGCAATCAAAGAAAAGGGAGAGGAAAACTTCAAATTGGCTGCTGTTGCTTCAGGACAATGAACTGTTGCTCCATGAACCTTACAGCATCATCTGCTGTTTCCCAAACTGAAATCTCACTTGCAATTTTCAGATTGATTATGAAGTCATGCATGCTGTTGTGGAGAATCTGAAGGCTTAATATGTGAACTTCTCTCTCGAAGGGAAAGTGGAGCTTGTTTATCGGTGGGTCAAGTGCATTGAAGTTTACTGCAAAATAATGCAAAAACAATCTTTCTCCTGTGACATTTTCTGGCGAGACAAACAACTTTTAGAAGTACCTTCATAAGCATAACATGTCATGGCAATCCAGTCAAAACAAAATGTAGCTAAACCACATGGTGGTGCTCAGGAAAGTCTAATGAGGACGACCAGCAGGCTGTTGGATCCCCAGTCATCCTCTGAGGAACATTAGTGTCTGAACAAAATTTCTTCACAATCCATCCAATATTTGTTAAGACATTTCTGTCTGGACTCAGATGTGAACGTGGTGGACTGACTGACCACCCTCCCTACAGCCTGACTGTTAACACTGTGAAAGTCATTTTAACAAAAAAAAAAAAAATGAGAAAAATGCCATGAGCAGGCGTTTTCTTTTGTTGCACAAGCAGCATCCTCCTCCTGGTGATTATGAAGTAAACAGTCTTGTCTTGCACAAATCTCACCGGCTGCTGAGGGCAAGGACTTTTTTTAGAACATACTCTTGAGCACACAGAGATCTGCACTCACACATCACTGCGACAACACACACACACACACTCACACATTCTTTGCATATTGTGTAAGAAGACAATAAACCAACAGGGCTTTTGTGATGCTGGAAAAAATAAGTGATGCTCTGCCCACAAACATCAAACCCAGAAAAATTTCAGCTTTAATCTTCTGCAGTTCAAATCAATAAAAAATACATAGACCTAAATAAAAATCTCCACCCACTCGGGTCTGATGAAGTGGACTGAAATGGGAACCCACTGGGGATAAGGAGAGGCTGCAGCACATTTGCACGTTTCATTTCAGCTGGAAATCATATTAGCATTGCAGGCTGCGGAGCCTAAAGTTGAAATGAACCATGGAGATGATTTAAAGGAGAAAGGGATAGAAGAAAGAAGGGCCGTGGTGGTGAATGGAGGCGGCGGAGGTCGAAAACGGCAAAGAGGCGAGAGACAGAGTTCATATGTGGCGCTGGATAAAAGAGGAGATGAGGTGGGGAGGTCGCTGGAGGGAGTCGGATTAGGTAGAAGAAAAAGAGCAGAGGTGGCTGACAGTCTGAAGAGAGAGAGATGAGCAGGAGGAGAGCCGGGGCAGAGGCGGAGGAAAGGTGGGGGTTACGTACTTGGCATTGGCGCAGGAAATAAATTGGTATGTTGTACGCAGAGGAGAGGAGGTCAGTCGGAGTTCAGCGGTGACAGGCTCCTGAATATCCTTCTCCTCGGGCAGGTGAACATCAGAGACAGGCTGATGCTTTGGAGGTTGCAGTGCAACAAAACACAATCAAATAAAGGTTTCTACTGTTTCTCGGGCAGATTTTTGTGTTTATTTTTCGTTTATTTTGGCTGTAGATGACTGGTGAAGTCACATGAAAATAAATGCTGCCCTGCAGACGTATCCACCTTAATGAGCTCTTTAATGTCACACTGAGTCATAAAATATTTCTTAAAAGGGGCTAAAGTGATCAGTGGGAACCCGATAAAACATTTTTCTCGAACCACAAGAGTTTTAAGGACATTTTATAACTTTAGGAGTAAATCAACAGCAGAGAGGTCACAGTAGATGAGGGCATATAGAGAGCCAGGGACAGTTCATGGTTGTTGCATAAGTGTTTATAGCCGCTTTTTCTTAATGCTAATAGAAATTAAATTCTTATTATAAAATAAAAGCCCTTGATGCACTGGACTAATCTTCTCCCCCAATGTCAGCTGGAATAGACTCCAGCTCCCCCTGACCTTCTGCAGGATAAAGCAGCTAATGGATAGATTATGAAGAAATTATTCCAAGACATTGTGGAAGTCGGAAAATATTGAGTTGTCTCTTTAGTTTTTATACTTCTTTTACTTACTTACTAAATATTCCAACTAAAGTGAACTGTCTCTTATGATACACATAAAACAAACCTAAGCCTTGATCCAAATCACTTTTTCTTTGTGATATGCATACATTTATCACGACAGGCCAGCGTCACCTGCAATATATCACGATGCTCTGATGACTCTACAAACTTTACATCGTGGCAGCTGCTCCATTTGACTGGCAGGGATTTTTTTTTTCTAGCAGAGGGTCTCGTGGACATCAATCCATGCATTCTTCTAACAAATTAGGTCATTCAGGCGTTCCTGCAGCTCCTCTTTCACGGATGAATCAGGCAGGTGGCAGTGCATTGTGAAGAGAAGTGAAGAGCCATATTGTGTTTCCAGGGCGTGTGAGGCGACAGGAAGAAGTGGGCGGGAGTTTCTCTACCTGAGAGTTCAAAGCAGGAGCTCACCTGTAAGCAGCCGGTGCAGAAGTTTTAGAAGGTACACAGCAAGATTTTTGAATCATTTGAATGATATTTTGTATTTTATGCAAAGAGTCAAACATGAATTCTTTTGTTCTTATGGGCGATGCATTTTGAGTTTGCATAAGTTTGAACTGCAAACGGACGGCAGGTACATACAGGAGCAAAATGCAAACGCCTTGCAGATGAAAGGACGAGTAAGATCTGAAACTCTTTTGATGCGAGGAGGGTCATGTAACAGTCTAAGACAGTGTGGTTCCAGCTTAGATGAGGAGAACAGGTCCAAAGATCAATCACAAATGCATAAGTAAAGAAGAGATATATTTTAGATTGTTGCTCTCTTCAGGGTTTTTAACAGCCCTGAAATGAAATATCGCTAAGCAGAGTTTTGTTTTGTTTCAGTACGTCACAAGCCTTTCTTTAGAGTAGTTGTTTGTTTAGTTATTTATTTTGTATTATATACCTAAATTGTCCATTTACCTTACATACATTTTTTAATACACATTATCTAAAGGTAAAAATACTTCAGCTGCAATCTTTAAAGAAACAGAAAATTTTTCTTCATTGTTTTGTTTTGTGGGCTGCAAGGTGGAGCAGTGGTTAGCACCGTTGCCTCGCAGCAAGAAGGTCGCCGGTTTGTGTACCGATGAGGACACCAGGGATCTTTCTGCGTGGAGTTTGCATGTTCTCCCTGTGCAGCGTGGGTTCTCTCCAGGTTCTCCGGCTTCCTCCCACAAGGTCCAAAACCATGTTAAGGTTAATTGGTGATTCTAAATTGTCCGTAGGTGTGAATGTGAGTGTGCTTGGTTGTCTGTCTCTAAGTGTAGCCCTGTGATAGACTGGTGACCTGTCCAGGGTGTCCCCTGCCTTCACCCTAAGTCAGCTGGGATAGACTCCAGCCCCCCGCGACCCTAGTGAGGATTAAGCGGTGTGTAGATAATGGATGGATGGTTTTATTGTTCTCATAGATTTCCCAATAACATAAGATGGGGTCAAATGACACACGCATTTTATTTTGAAAAGGAAACAAGGTTCACAGAAGAGCAAAATTGTTAAGACAAACTTGAAAGTCTGTCAAGAAATAGTAAGTTTTGATTGTAAATTTATTCGAAATTCTTCTGAAAAAATAATCCAATTTGTTGCTTTATAAGAGACAAAACAGGAATTTAAACAAGCACTCACCAGAAAACAAGCATTAAATAAAAATGTCAAATATACATGCAATCGAAGAAAATCTGTTGTTATTCTTCTGTTGCGCTCTTAAAGTTTCAATAGTTATTTTATTTATTTATTTAACCTATTTTGTGAACAAAATATCACAAAACTAACAAAGAGACAGCAGCTCTGTATTCTTTTTATACAGCTTAAGAGCCAACTAAATAGCATGAGGAGGAGATGTAAAAGCAACATGTTCCCTCCTTTGTCTCTACAAACACAAAACCTTTAAGCTCTTGTGTCAGAAGTGCAGAAATGACCTCACCGGTGATCGCAGCCCCCCCTTGCGGAGCCCCTGCCCTTCCTCCCGCGGTCCTAAACCTCCTCAGTGGAGGATCAGAGCCGCCTCGCTCAGAGAGCAGACCGGGCTCTGCCGGTGACAGCAGCGAGCGCACCGAGTCTGAACAGCAGCAGCAGCAGCAGCGGATCAGCAGCAGATCCAAAGAGCTGCTGAGGACTGGACGGCTTTAAAGAGAGGGCAAAAAGGAGCAGAACTACAGAAAGAAAAGAGGAATCCACATTTTTTTTCTTTGTTTCTCCTTTTGGCGTGTTGATGTTTCAGAAAAAGTTGTGTCTGCGCAGAAAGACGCACAAGACTGTTGGAGGGAATACTGGTGCGCGGAGTGTTTTGGAAAGAACAGCTTGTTGGAGGTGAGTAGATCACGCAGCGTGCAACAGTGATTTAGTACATGATGTGTTTTTGTGCTGTATTTGAACAGTGAACTTGCTGGTTTTGCTGTGGAGCTTCCTCAGTCTGTTTTTTATACATCAAGTGAAGAATGAGAGAAACTTATTTCATGATATTTTCTGCAACATATCATTAATATTTGTGGAGAATTATGTCAAAATGTGTGTTTATATCACAAAGTTGCGTGGTTTAGTTTCACTGCATGTTTAATTGGGTATTGATAGTTTGATTTGTCTTCAGGTATTTGAGGATAATCTGTAGTTGAATCCACTTAAAAGGCTCCTTTTCCAAACCAGATTCTTCTTTTTTTTTTCTTGCACTGACTGTAGTTGGTTTTCCTAAAGAGCTGCTATGTGTGAGTGTGAAGAGAGTAATTCCTGTGAGAGAATAAACCCTGCTCTGTTATCTCCATCCAGCTGTTTGAGTGAACCAGGGCTGCCCCCTCACAACTGGCACGCACGCACTACTGCAAACCACTTTTCTTGTTGTGATAGTTCCCCCTCGCTCTCTCTCGACATCCGCAGATGGTTTTTGTTTTGTACGTCAAAGACAGAAGGAAGCGGATGGGAGAGGATGAAGGGAATATGATGAAAAGGAAAGGTCACACAAACAGAGGGAGAGGGAGAGTGTGAGTAAAAGACCTCAGGGCCATTTGTTTTACGCTCCCAAGGCCTCGTTTAATTTATGGATTGGTTTTGAGTTGAATTGGAAACACCCCGGATCTGATTGGACCATAAATAATCCCCCCACAAGAGCAGATATAAACACTGAAGGAGGCAGCGTGCCTGAGATTCTCTCCATCTCTTTCTCATCTGTGGTGAACTCCCTCCCTGCAGATGATTGATGGCTTTGGATGTCATGTTGTCACAGCTAGAAGACTTTGGCTGAATGCAAACATTAGGACGAACCACACATGAATGCTGAAAATGTGAGCTGGCAAATGCTCCGCACGTACATGCTCCATCCTCTCCTGCACAGACTAGCAGCGTTTGCAGCTCTGTGATGTTAACTGAGTGCTCCAGCATCATGCCACCTCGCTGGGAGACCCTAAATCATGCTGCCCTGTCACCACAGCACGGCTCAGGCGCAGGGGAGAGGAGGGGCGTTTGTTGGTGGCGGTGGCGGGCCTTTGGGATTGGAGCAGCTAAGGAGGCGGATGGAGGGCAGGTGAGGGAGGAGGATGTGATGCTGAGGGATCATTTTTATCACATGGCTCCCTCACAGGACTGAAAAATCCCAGAGGGGGGGCCGACGTGTGAGGCAGCTGAGCGAGAAGCTGACCAAAGTCGTGGTCAGTGTGCTTCTGACTGCATGTAGTCCTGCAACAATCCTTTTTTTCCTCCTTCCTCTCTTTCAGTTTAACTCAATTAGGAAAAACGTTCTTTTCCTGCTGTTGAATAAACCAACACCCCATCATCTTTGTTCAAGAGTTAACAAATAAAAAAACAAACTACATCACAGCTGGAGGCACAATCACAGCTGATGCACATCTGCAAACATTAAAAGACACGCCTACTGTTCAAAATGTTTTTCAGCTCAATTTGCTCATTAGATAATCTCAGCGGAACATACATGTGCACACGGGGCCGCATCTGTGCACGCAGGAGCGCTCTTATATAACAAGTGAAGGAAAAATCCTCCATAAAGTGACATTACATCCCCACATTAAACTGATAGGAAAAGAGCAGCCTGGTCCACACCTGCGATGATCAGTTAGCTAAATGCCTCTGCAGCCACCAGGGATCGAAACCATGACTTGACTGCCATGTGATTAAAAGCACGCGAATGGCATGTCAGCGTATTTAATTCATTGTCGTCCATCATGATGTAACGCAAACCCCAAAAGCCTTACACAACAGAACTCTCACAGCACTACATACTTCTCTTATTAAACAGCACTCTGGTGACGTTTTGGGATGAGAAGACTTTTAGTGAGCTTTCATGTGGAAAAAGTCTCATGTGTGGAAGCACCAGAGGAGCCTTGAATTCCTCTGAGGGGAACCGTGCACTCACAGGAGCTCAGCAGATTCTTGGTTTTGTCTCTTGTCTCGCCCCCCATTTCATGTCTTAAATTACATGTCAGAGAGGCAGGTCTGTTTGATGTCACGCTGTGGCTCAGTGTGTAGTTTTTTTTATTTTTTTTATTCCTGATATGGTTCGTGGGAGTAATGTTGGTTCTAGGATTCAGATTCCCGTCAGCTGTGATGTGTCTAACAGCGGGTGCGTCGCTGAGATTTCCGTCAGAGTTTCTCCCTGTCAGCCCATTAAAACAGGACAAGAGCGAGAGCGCGGCAGGGGAGAGACAAGCTGTCAGTCAGACTAACACACACACACACACACACACACAAACACACAAACACAAAGACTGCCCTTGTATGTGAGACTGTAATTAGTAGCCGCCTGGGTTTGCAGCGACCTTTCTTTTTTCTGCTTTCAAAAGGTCCAGTCTGGGCTGTAGCAACGCCGCTAATGGCTTTGCTTATACGCCACGTTGGTGCAGTTTTCATTTTCAAAGTCACTTCCTAAGTTATTAATCGTCAGGTTAATTATTTGCACCCCCCGCTTTCAAGTACGGCATTATGAAGTTGTCTGCTTGTCAGGGATCTGTCAGCATCCACGCAGGTCGGAGTGGGCAAACAATAAGCCTCTCCAAGTTGACAGTGAAATAAGATCTCAAGAGGTTACTTCACATGAGTCATTCTTATGTTGTTAATTTGTAAATGCATTTCATCGACTTGCATTCCAGATGATTTTACTGTGGCCAGAAATAAACAGAGCAGCATGGACTATTCCTCCTCTGGAAAACACTCTGATTAATCATCTCTGTCGTGAAGATTGCTTTCAGAGTTTAGCACTGAGAATTTCCTCATGTGAAAATAATGTGAAAGCAGAAACAAACTGTTGAACATGTTGATGACAGACACTGTGTGCTGTCTAGGCTTCACGCAGACATTTTTCTCATTGCTGTTTGAAGTTCAGAGAAATTGGTTAATAAATCACATTAATTTTTAATGAGATTTTTTATTATTGGCTGCTTTTACTCAGCGGTAAATGGCAATGTGTTTTTTTTCTTCTGCATCATACGTCTTCTTTTGAGTTAGCTCTCGTGTTGTTGATGGTTCCCACAACAAGGGCTGCATTTTTTTTTCTCTTCCCGAGTACTGAGCGCTTCACTGTTCTGAAATGAAACAATACATTTAAGAACTTTTTTCAGTGACTCAACTGCAGCAAGTCTGTAATATCATTTCATTTCCTCATCAAATATTTAAGGACTTCTGAGGGTCTTTCCACAGTTAACAAGTTTAATTTGATTTTGTGTACTTTTGTAGTTATTGATTTGGTAAAAATGATTGCAGAGTACCGAGAAACGTTGTAATCAGTGAGCGAAACTCGCATCGACAAGTGACACTGGATCAGGAAAAAAAAAACATGTGACGGCTGTTTCGGGTGAACAATGTGGTGAGAAATCCCAGTCTACCATCACGCTGTTGTAAATCCTTTTGGCTGAATTTTAGTTTTGATGCATTTTTTTTTCTGTCTTTTGAAGCCATTTCTCACTCTGCATGCCTGACTAAACAGCTCAGTGGGCTGTTTTGGGTTTCTCTACAAAATGCATCTAATCCTTGCGTCCTGCCGTACACACAGCCTGCCACTTTTTCTGCCAGACTCTTAACACTATGCAGCCTGTGTGATTCCTAATAGAAAAGCATTTCATTAGGTGAGCGGTTGCACTGGATGCTGTAATTTGTGTACTCATTATAATTAACAGGTGTGCTCATTGAAATTAAACTCTAATGCAGAAATCTTTGCCATGAATTGAAAAAGAAAAAGAGTGAAAAAAGAAAGAAAGGAAGAAATGTGTACCCAAGGGGCTCAGAATTGGCTCCTCTGACTGCAACACACCAAACATTTGTCACGTCATGAATACGTGCAGGCAGCGTATCCATCAAGCAACAGGAGGTCAGGTCAGATCTGCAGGAGGGGGCTAAACAGGTACTGCAGTGATTTAGTGTTACACTTGTGTAAAGCTGCGGGACTTGTTTGTTAAAAAAAAAGGTCAGAATTGACGCTGCAGAGATACTCTGACATATTGTCTCTAATGTAGGTCAAGCACTAAAACTCTACATTCTTAAATTTCTCCTCCTCCTTTCGCCTTTGCGACTCATTGTCTGTTGATTAGACCCTTTCTTCCTGGTTAACACTGAAGTCTTAAGCTCAGTCCACGATAAACCCGATGACATGACCCATTTTTCTGGACTTTTGAAAACTCCAGAGGCGCAGAAGACAATTGTTTCCTCGGACCAAGACTATGAGTAAACTGACTTTTGGCCACTTTAAGTTTGAGATTACACTATAGGAGCTCTCTAATACATCTGCCCTGTCTATTTATCTGTGGCTGCTCAGACTGGGATGAACTGCTTCTGCTGTTGGTCTGTCATCGTCCAGCAGCCTTTACCTTCTGCCTGTCATTACCTCCTTTGATTTTTTTGTACAGCAAAAAACACCCAGAAGTAACCATAAAATGCCCCACAAACCTGCACACTGAACATCTATTATCATGCTCCTGCAGAACCTTTCTCAGCATGAAAGGAGGCTCACAATGTGTTTTATTTTTTATTTTTTTGCACAAGTAGATTGCAGTTCAATTAAGTTGTCTGTTGCAATCTGATAGCTAAGATGGCACGCGGAGATGGGCTCTGAAAGCCCTCGCAGTCTGTAAGAAGAGACGGAATCAATGCAGAGTGGAGTAAGTCTGGCTATAATGGACGTTAGTGGGCAGAGCTCTGGCACAGATCACATTAGAACCAGGAGTGCTGAAGTCCGCCAAGTGCTCCAAACATCCATTAGTAGGCCAAACAAAGTGTCTTTGCTCAACACTCGTGCATGTGTTCGCAACGCTGAAAGATTTTGCATCTCTTCGCTGCTGAAGTTGCAGATTGGACATCATGTTACAGACAGTGTG